GCTCCCAGTCTGCCCTCAGCTGTTCTGCTTCCTCTGATATAGAGGTCAGATGGCTCCCTGCATGTATTGGCTCTCATGATTACCCATTTACAAAAAAAAAAAAAAAAGCCCTTGATTTTTAACACCCCTGCTGTGTAACTACTAGTTTTTTACATGGTTACTGTTGTTAGGGCCTTCTTTCATCCCTAGTAGTGATTGTTACGAGGAAGGGGGGCAAAACACATATTGCAGTAAAATTGTAGACTGGATTTCTTTGAAGGCAAATGGCATTTGACCCAGCACTGAGATGCTTTGCTTTTTGCAGTTTGGATGCTAAATCTACCAGCATTCAGGTGACCATTAAGGAGGGAGGTCTAAAACTTATTCAGATCCAGGATAATGGATGTGGAATCAGGGTAAGTAAACCTATTGGACAGGTACAAGGTGGTGTAGCACTTATTCATGGACTCTATTGTGATATATTAATGATGATTTTTCCCTGCCCTAAAAAACTTTGGAACTACAAATGAATTTCTAATCTTTGTCTGCCTTTTTCATATAGAAAGAAGATTTAGATATCGTATGTGAGAGATTCACTACAAGCAAATTGCAAAAATTTGAAGACCTGGCTAGTATTTCTACATATGGGTTTAGGGGAGAGGTAAGTTTCTGGTTAATAGCTTGTTCATTGCCACTATGCTTTTATAAGCATGTGGTTAATTTCTGATTCCTGTAGTCATTTTTATAAGATGGAATTTCTTATGAGCAGGGCTTGACAAATAATACGGTCTACTCACCCGTGGCGAGTAGATTGTAACCCAGAAGAGATGGGTTTGGGCGATCTGCGCATGCGCAGATCGCCGGACAGTGCGGCTGGCAAGTGGGACTTGCTGTGGTTCGGCGAGCCTTGCTTATGAGATTACATCTTCGCACTGAGTATGGGTGATGTGAAGCTGGGAAGTGTGTGTTAACTAAGGGGGGTGTCCGTTGGAGTAATCTGGTGAAGGTTAGTTTTTGGGGTCACTCTGGTCCTCTTCTTTCATTGATATTTAAGCACAAGGGAGCATACTTCTGTGCAAAGGAAGAAATAATAATTAAAATTTACACACTGTAATCTCTGAGATCTTAGAGTTCTGACTGCTGTAGAAATTGAAAGGGAGTGAGACAGAAAAAGCCAAGTTTGTGGCTATCTGTTGATCACTGTCCACTATAAACTGTGTGCTTGGGCAGGCACTCAGGAAAGATTCAGATGCTGCCCCGATGATTATGGGAGCACCCACAGCTGACAGCACGTGTTTCTACTGGTGGCGCACATACAATTTATTCTGCACATGGATGGAAAAATATTAGAGGGAATATTTCCTTTGAGCCACGTTATGTACTTGCAAGCAAGTTAAGCTTATCCTGAAAGCTTAAAACTGGTTCTCTTTGGTATCCACTTTCTCCTATAGCAGGGGTGTCCAAACTTTTTTCAAAGAGGGCCAGATTTGATGAAGTGAACATGCGTGAGGGCCGACCATTTTGCCTGACATTCTTTGAACCATTAAAATTAAATGCAAATTAACTATTTTATGCAAAGTTTATTGCAAACGGCAAACGACATAACACCAACTATACATGTTGGGCTCGTCTACACTGGCCCCTTTTCCGGAAGGGGCATGTAAATTTCACCTATCGTAGTAGGGAAATCCGCGGGGGATTTAAATATCCCCCGCGGCATTTAAATAAAAATGCCCGCCGCTTTTTTCCGGCTTTTAAAAAAGCCGGAAAAGAGCGTCTACACTGGCCCCGATCCTCCGGAAAAAGCGCCCTTTTCCGGAGGCTCTTATTCCTACTTTAAATATCCCCCGCGGATTTCCCTACTACGAAAGGTGAAATTTACATGCCCCTTCCGGAAAAGGGGCCAGTGTAGACGTAGCCGTTGTGTCCAAATATATTTATAACTGATTTAGACCAACTGACATTAACTGAGATTTTACAATGTATTCATCTCAATTGAAAAAAAAAACTTGCCTACACTAATGTGAAGGGTGAAACTGAGATCTGGACTGCAGCACATAGGCTAGGTCTGGTTCAAAGGCAGTCCCTGATCTCAGCAGCTGCGGAGTCCGTCCCTGATCTCAGCAGCTGCGGAGTCCGTCCCTGATCTCAGCAGCTGCGGAGTCCGTCCCTGATCTCAGCAGCTGCGGAGTCCGTCCCTGATCTCAGCAGCTGCGGAGTCCGTCCCTGATCTCAGCAGCTGCGGAGTCCGTCCCTGCACTCTCAGCCCCAAGGTAGAGGGCTTGCAGGGTCAGAGGCGGGCGGAGAGCGCAGGGCACGCTGGCCTGACGGCTGCCCGGGGGCAGGGCGAACCCGTAGCCAAGCGGGGGAGCGGGGCTGCGGACGTGCCCTACTTGGTGGACTTTAGGACCGCAGCGGCCGCCATGGATGGCGGCGGCACGGCCGGAAGCGGCGCCAGTCAGAGGAGCGCCGGGGAGCCAGGAGAGGGGGAGGAAGCGGGGGCTGTCCCTGCACTCTCAGCCCCAAAGCGGAGTGCAGGGGCAGGGTTTGGGACCGCAGCGGCGGCGGCGACCCGAAGCGGCGCGCTGAGCGCGCCGGTTAAAAAAAGCACCGGGGAGCCGGGAGAAGCGGGGGGCCGTATTAAATCCGACCGCGGGCCGCATTTGGCCCGCGGGCCGGACTTTGGACATGCCTGTCCTATAGTATGTGTTTAAATGGATTCATAGATAGATCTTCCTCTTTGCCAACTGGCTGCAAAATTTAGTAGTTTCTTTAAGAAAATTGAAAGCTATTCTTGACTTTAATTAGCTTTTTCTAATCCCAGTTTTTTGGAAGAGCTATTGTTTAGCCTTCTCTTTCAATCTCACACAAAATAATACAATAAAATTAGAAGTTTTGAAATCAGCAAAAGAAAAAAGACCTCCTGTTGTAGTGGCAAATATATAAAAATGTGTGTCATGTTTTCAAAACACATTTCTTGGTAATTTTCAAGGTGACCTGAAAAGGTGGAGAGGTAGGTATGAATGTATGCCCTTTTTGCTATACAGTGTGTTAACATGACTTGAAACAACATTTTACATTTTAAATAATGTTTTGAAATTTAAGGTTTGTTTTTTTTCTGTTTGGTGTTGATCGTAACTTATGGACTAGAGATCATGACTCCCCACTGGCTGCATATGACCAGAAGATATTTAGATTCTTATCCCAATTCAGGCTACAGAGTGCACTAACTCAGAACAAGACTCTTGGGATGCACAGCAAGGACGCTTAAACTGAGGACAGTAACAGTTTGTTAAAACTTTTATTAAAGTAAATGAAATAATAACAAATGATATGAAACCTAGGGTTACAAGGCAATAATTCAACGACTCCTTGTGGTACTTTTCTATGGCAATGAACTACTAAGTTTAGCATACTCAAACCCATCCATTCTAGACCTGGTCGTAAGAGACGGAGGATTAGCTTCATCTCCGGCATGCTGCATGAATCTGATGGCTCACACAGGTAGAGTGTTGAGTGTCTTAAGTTATACTGCAAAGTTGAATTAATAGCTTGATTGAAAAAGCTGACAAGTGAACAAATGACCCTATGCGATTCTTAGCATGGTAATTTTATAGGGCCATGGCGCTGCATAATTCTGGCCCAGTCTACAATGTCCAATCTTATTTCTTCATCCTAATAAATCTTCACGTACATTTACTCTATAGGTTAATATATTATGACAGTTATTCCTATTTATTAATAAGGATTATTTCTCTCAAAGTTTACTGATGGCCTTACTTATAACTTCATTCTGTGTTGTACCCTGCGGTTACCGACCAGAGACACCATATAAACAGGATTGGTTCCCCCATTCAGGCCCTCAAAGTCAAGAGGCAACCAGTAGGCCTTTCTTATCTGTGTCATAGGTAATAAGTACCTATACTGATTTGCCTTAGCTAATCATAAAGGAAACCAGCCTGCAGGTTTATACAGCTAAATACAATGGATAACTATGAATGATTGTGATGAATAAAACACAGCCTCTGAACATATTTAATGACAGCAGGCTATAACAAATTAGTATAACTCAATCCAGGAAAGAAGCATTTTATATTTTTTATCAGGTTAGCAACTTAACCTTATGGGCTACATTGGCAGAGATCTCTTGTCAGAAACCTAGACAATACAGGATAGGAACTCTTCAGCCCTTAATTTTTTTTTATAAGTGTTTCAGTTTTCATTTAAAAAAGAAAATTAAAGGTAAACAGCTACTTCTGAGTACAGTCCTTGAAAGGAAAATTGTATTCACAATTGTCATGCCTTTAATTGTATCGGTGTTAGTGATTCTGTGTTAATACTTAGTCTATCCTGCATTTGCTATTAAAATGTTGACATGCCGTATGTCACTTGGAAGAAACAAACAGTGAATATCACAGTAACATGATTTACTTACAAATAGTAAATATCTGTTTTAATTGCTACCATTGTAGATGTATTAATTTCAAAATTAATATTTCCTTCCATGAGGTTTATAAAAGTTCATTTTTCCCCCTATAGGCATTGGCTAGCATAAGCCATGTTGCCCATGTTACTGTCACAACTAAAACTGCTGATGCAAAGTGTGCATACAGGTATGCCGTGTATTCAATCTCTAAAAACTGTGTGTGTAATAAACAGTTATTTTCTTTGCAGAGTTAATAATATGTATGATATCTTGGTTACAAATAAACTCATAGAAAGGGTGATTTTAAAAAGAGCATGGTCATTCAAG